CAAAGTATCAGGAGCACATGACAACCGAAGAGCTATTCACTGAAATTTTCACTGAAAGTGAAAAATTCGAAATTTATGTAAAAGTATCAGGGGAACATGACAATCGAGGAGCTATTCAGTTTTTAACCAATATTTCGATTGATTAGCCATTTACAAAAGAAAAAATTGCAATGATTTAAAAAAAAAAATTGAATGATGCCGGAATCGAACCCGGGCCGTTGGCGTGGTAGGCAAGCACGTTACCGCTAGGACAACGCGCTCGTTTAAAAATATAAATTCATTAGTGGTATATGTTCAACATATTGAATAATTTTTTTCGTTGAAATTCCACAAGATGTGGTTTCCCCCTTCCACACGTTCTACAGCCGGCTAAATTTCAGTTGAACAAATAAAAAACCAAAAAAAATGACTTTATACATATTTTTTTTTTATTTTCTGCTCGTCAAAATTCACTGTTCAACTATTAACAAAAAATTTCAAGTTAGAATCTGTTTTTGGACCTCCGCCGCTGGCAGAATGTCGTTATCAATTGCCCCAATCTCCTTCAGTAACTGCTGTTTATCACCGAAATAATCCCTGTACCACATTATGTGCCCTTTCTTCTCCTCCACCGTCATATAGGGATTTTTGGATAGCCCAGTACAGACAAGTTCCATAAAAAGACGAATGGGTCCCTTCCTAGGACACCAGTCCTCCATGTATCTCTCGACAAAGACATGCTCTGAGAAGTGTACATCGTGTTCTGCTTCCATTCCTGCGAATCATCAAATTAAATCATATAATTAACAAACTTAATAGCGCAGCGTTTTCCTAATCCCTTCTGAGTTTTCATCCGACGGAGTTCATCAGGAAACAGCCATTTAACCCTCATAGATTAACAATGGAATTGTGAATAATTACAGTTGGGCTAATTTGGGTCATACCTTGTTCATTGTCAATGGGGAATTTCCAAAGAATCCCTCGTTCAGTCCACTGAATCATTTCTTGAAAATAGTTCTCAGGGGGATGTGTTATGGATTGCTTCTTCTCTTGATCCTCCAGTGCCTTCCAGGTATGTAATTCCGTTGTGATAGGATCCACCGGAGGACGGGCGCCAACAAATATACCGAATGATTTGCCACCAAATAAATTCCCTGGTATTTCTCTGTATGTGAAATAATAATAATAATCATTTTTGCCTGATCTTAAGTAGTGAATACTGAGTTTTAAATGAATAATATCGACATTTTTTTATTAGAAGGTGTATAACTATATTTCAAGAGAATTCTTACGCTCTCTCTGTGAATCTCTCAACATTCTGTGCTGGATTTCTGGACTGGAAATTCTGGGTTAATTCCCGAATTTTTTCTATTCTGGCGAATGGCAGGTCCTCTTCTAAATTTTTTTTTGGAGTTCTGTCTATTTTCATTGCTGCGAGTAATTCACTACACAAAGGCATAATATATATTTCAAAATTTATAATTTCACTGGACAATTATTGGGTTAATTAGGGAGTAATTACCGTAGGGAAGGCTCAGGCACTTTTGCCTTTTTTTCAGGTACCTCTGTGTTTTTCGCAGGAGTTGTTTTCTCGGGTAAACTTGCTCCTTCCTGTTTTGCAGTAGCCTCTTCTTTGCTCAGGGATGCCACCTCCACCGCCACCGCCTCTTTTTTCTGCTTTTTCTTTTTGGATTTTTTAACAGATAAAACCGGACGAGGTGCTGGGGCACCAGCCGAAAATATTTTGTCTAGCAGCTGTTCTTCCCTCTTCTGCACATCGCCTCCTAGAGTCTGTGCCACTTCTTTAGCTGCTACTTTGAGTTTTTCCTCTGGAAACCAGAAAATAGAATAGAATTAATAAAAAATGTTTAATTTTTTCAGCACTCTTTTTTGCAATTTTTAGTCTGTTCTCACCTAGAGTATTCTCTTTCTCTTGTTTTGGTAGCTCCGGTTTCAGTGGCTTGGCCAGATCAATAATCGTCTTATTCACCATTTTTTCCTGCACATACAAGGGAAATTCAACGTTGACAGAAAAAACAGATACTAGGAGAAAAAATACAACAAGTAAATTTGAAATTCTTACCCCACTCATTTTTGCTAACAGAGCATTCAACAAGTCCACAGTTTGTTGCTTTGCTGCATCATCTCGTTGCTTCTCAATAGTTTTCCCAACTTTTTTGGATTTCTCAGTATCAGAACCTGATGAGTCCGACGATGACGATGACTCGATGGATCCCAGGACCTTTACGGAACTGTGGAATTGTTGTTTCGTCACTGCATTGTGTGCAGGAGACAACCTGGGAGTTTTCAATTAATTTTTACTCATTATATATCAGTGGATTAAAAAATTTGGAGGCATAAAGGTGAGGTTAGGGCGTACAAAACCTCTATGAGAATCGAAATAGAACATGATTGATGAACATAACTCACCTGCAGAGTAATCTCATTGTTAATATTCGATCCATGAGACTAAATGGGTTAATAAATGTTTTTACAACTGTTTATTCATCGACATTATCCGGCATTCTCATAAAAGAGGAATTTCATCAGCACCGGGGTGGCGCTAGTAACTATATATAACTGCACTATAAGAGTGGCGCTTGAGGTCCTCTCAATTTTTTCTATTTTTCATTTTACCTGTGTTTGGACATGAAATGGATGTATTTAGAGCGATTTTTCGAGTAATTAATAAAAAAAAAAAACAATGTGCAATAGAAACTTTCAAAATAAAAATTCGGTAAAAATACATGAGAAAAGAAGTTACAGATCAAATAACAAACTCAAAATGTAAGAGTTTGAAATAATGAAATATGAAATTCAAAGCAGAAGAATACCACCGGAATTTTTTTATCATTTCTTTTTTTCAATCTGTTCCTTTTGAAAAGATATCTGATGTGTTCCGTTGGACAAAAATGCGGGCCCTTGGGTGATTGTTGATTCAAAATAGCCAATGAGAAGTCAGCGTCCAATAAATTTAACAGGGTGGCCATAGTTGGATCCAAGATGTCCGTGCGCTTGACGCGAGAACGTCCACCACAATCAGCTAAAATTGCATTGTTACTGATTTGAGGAATAATAATACGAACAAATATCAATTGGAGTTTGATCGAACTATGGAGTGTGCTGTGTTCGATGCATCGGCACTGGAAACATCGATAGATATTGTCGAGGAGACGACTTTAGTGGAGGAGCCCTTCACCGAGGCAATCCAGTTCAGCCACGACGTTACCACCACTGACGACAATAATAAGGTAATCACCAATGTATTTTCTTCCTCGAGACCTTTTAAAAATTTTCTCAACCGGATCATCGCATCGCCATCAGATAATTTTTCATTTTTTTCATCATCATTATTAAGATAATTAGCCATTTGATCCGGTGATATTCCCGCCTTTTTCCATCGCGAGACCAAAATTAAGGTAGTCCCTAGTTAGGCTAACCCCTTTCCCCCTGCAACCGCTCTGTACTACCATTTTTTTTTTTTAGGGGGGAGGAGGTAAGGGCTCTCTAAATACGATTTTCTATCCCCTAAACTTTGAGAATTTGTGGAAAAAGAAAAAAACAAAAACACAGAATCATCTTTCGCAACCCTCAAATTATTCTTGACCCTCTCTCCCCCTCTGTTTCACCCAGGATCCGGAGTCACCCCCGTCTCCAGAGGAAGAACCTGAGCTACGTTCGTGCTACATCCACGTGGAGCGATGCGACAAGATTTGGGAGACAATGAAATTGATCCGAGAGCTGCAAGAGCCCCAGTCGAAATACTCACTGGATGACTACTACGATGAGGATGATAATGATAATGATGATGATCATAATGATGATGATGATGATAATGCTAATGCTGATAATGATGATGATGATGATCATGATGGTGATGATGACGACGACGACGACGACGACGACGACGACGACGACGACGACGACGATGACGACGAGGAGACAGATTCTCCCTTGAATGACGACGAATCCACGTCATCCAACTGCTCCCCAATGCTCCCATACATAAAATACCAGCCAGTGCTTGGCAATGGTAATAAAGCCCTGCCAAACTTCCAGTTCTCCGTAAAAAGTACTCGTGCCCTTTACCAGTGCAACACATGTGGCCGCCAGTACAGCCACCGTTCCTCATTACGAGAACATTCAGAGAGAATTCATAATATTATTCTCCCCATGATCCGTCGTCCCCCAAAGTTCAAAACCGATAGATCAGATTTAGCATCAAAACCTGAGGAGAAATCCCCAGAGCCCGACGACGAAGAGAGCACCCACGAGTCAGGGAGCACCATCTCTTCAACTCCTTCAGAGGATAAAGAACGTTTGCTGGATTCAGCCAGTGAGCCTCAGGATAATGAGTACATCACACCCTCTGGAAAAGTCCGTTATACAGCGACGTGCAAACACTGCGGGAAAATCCTTTCTGATAAATACTATCTCAAGGTCCACGAGACCCTTGTCCACGGTCAGGCCTCGCCCTTTCCTCATGGTGGAGGTCCCCAGGTACTCAGGAATTATGTGGCCAAGGCCCCACCACTTGTCATCTGCAATCACTGCAAGGAGTCATTCTACGGCCCGCAAAAGCTCAACCAGCACAAGCAGATCATCCATGGAATTCCCTTGGACACCAACCCACCACCACCACCACCACCTCCTCCTCCTCCTCCTCCTCCTCCTCCTCCCCCTCCTCCTCCTCATAAATGTTAACTGATAAAAAATCGTAGTGCAAAAAAAAGATAGTAAAACAAAATTGATCTTCCAAGTTTTCCGT